GATAGATAGATAGATAGATAGATAGATAAATAGATAGATAGATAGATAGATAGATAGATAGATAGATAGATAGATGGATAGGCTGTCCAAAACAGAAAGAGGGGGGAGAAAAAGTGAGGGCCAGCGAGTGATTAAAAAAAAGGAAACTAGAACAAGGGAAACAACTCATAGAAACACAACTGGGAATCAGATTAGTGCGGGTTATGCGTCTCAAGGGGTAACGTAACGGTGCAACCAAACCAAATCTTTGTTAATTTATCTTTTGAACAAATGGTCGCTTTTAAGCTCAAGGGAGCTATCCCGAAAAATAGGGTTTTGAGAAAATCGAAGGTTAAGTTTTTGCTCCTTGTTCAGTTTCTTTAAAAGACAAGGAGAGTTTTCTCTATAACCAAACAAATATACACACCAATGAAACCAAACGTCTCCTATAGGTAGGGCAATGCCCACTTTTGGTGTAGGTCAAGATTTCTGAAAAACCCCGAAATCTGGGTTAGCCTGTTTGTCCTTAAAAGCGACCATCTTTGGAACAAATAACCACAAGATCTGTATTTGTAGATGTATTTGAAGACATTTAATTTGACAAAAGGGACATAACTCCAGCACCACGAACACTGACGAAAGGTACGAACGTATACCTGTATTGGCATTACAAGGGAAATAAACTCATCTGCTGGTTTATAGAATAAAAAGTGTACCCGTATCTAAAAGGGTCAATCTGTTCAGATCTTGAAATGGTTGATTTGAAAATTATATCATTTTTTGCGGGGAAGTATAAAACGCCCTCAATTCTTTTTTCTTAGAAGTTGAATTCCAAACAAATTATGGATTGACTTTTGTAGAGTGTATTTTGTGTGTGTTATCTCAATTCGAAAAGAGCCATGGCGTAAATTGGTCTACGTCGAAGTTGAATTACATTTTTTCACCACTCTTTGAATTCCCTTTCTAGAAGTCATGAATTGGGATTCTGGTATTCGAGAAAATTTTGTTTGGAACAAAGATTTGAAAATTTTAAAGGTTCAATAGCAAGACTATTAATTAATTAATGTATTTTTATCTTTTTTTCGGAGGAGGGGGTGGGGGGGGGGTCAAATAATGGAAGCCATGAATATTGGGGTTCTAAGACTATCGATCATAAATCACAACAGAACATAGAACAAAATGGTGGTTGTAGCGGTGTTCGTTGAGTGTGAAATGAACCAGTCTGAGCTGAGACTTAGTTCACCTCGACAGCATCCCTGAGGGCGTCCACCATGCCATTGACTGAGGACACGACGTTGCTGTGAGTCTCAGAGGAGAAGTCCCGGATGTACTCGTGGGTGCATCTCAAGGCTAGGGCCGCAATCTCACGCCACACCCTGAGAACAGGAGAGAGAGGGGGGAGGGAGAGGGAGAGGGAGAGGGGGGAGAGG